CAGGCTGAAGCAAATGGTCGGGACACTGGGATGTTTCAAACAGAGCTAGGATTCGTTGCTGCGTTCCAACCGTGTCAGCGGCTTCCCTTGCTATCCTGTTGACATGCTGCATGTGGCCGGCACAACGACGCCCCATAATGAACAGGATCATCCAGTATGGCGCAACTTGCCAAACCCGTGGAAGGTGGGCAAATGAGAAGCCACAAACGTCGTGAAACTGCAAAACATGAGAAAACAACTGGGCTGGCACCTTCTGGAAAAATCTGCTGGCTCCAACTGTGGCAAGGCAAAGCTGCACCGCTAAAGCTGCAAGAGTCACAGCCGCACTTGAGACGGCATCAAACAAAGAAATCAACAGAACTGGCTCATGCTGCGGCACAACTACTGGCAAAGAGGGCAATGTGGGCAAAGATTTCGCCCGGAACCCACCTGATCTGGACCTGGGCCCAAATATTGGTCGGGCATTTTTAACAATCTCCTTTCATGCCAAACCCACCAGGCCTAACAAAAGTGCAGAACAAATCAGTATCAAAAATGGCACCGGGATGCACAGGGAACTTTGGATTTTGTCATCTGCTTCACCCACTGAAGCATCATGGGGTGACACAGCTCCAAACTGAGATTTTCTTGGAAAGCCCCTCAGATAATCAGCAAACCATGAACCCCAAAGGGATGGAAAAAACTCTTTTCAAGGACATAAAAATGGTGCTCTCCAAAAATCGGACAAGAGTTACACGTCAAGTTGTGGGAAATCCCGTGGGAACCCGTATATGTTCAACATATTTGAGGCTTCAAATGATCTGACCAAAAAAAATCCCGGCATGTTCCGCTTTCGGACGAATTTCCCAGAAGGTGAAAGAAAGACCACCTTTTTTTAGAAGTCTGAGTTAACCTTCGGTAATCAAAGGTGGCAGTGGAACATCCCCTATAAATGGAGGTGTTAGTGGGAAAATTGTTTATCAATTGTGAATTTTCCATTGCCATGGCTGATTACCAGGCTGTACTTTTAAAGTCCTGGAACAAAACCTCTGTTTTGGCATGGATAACCCGACCATCTCATGGCTCAAAAGCGTGCAATGTTGAAGGGTCAATTCTTGGAGTCCAGTCGAAACGCCTGCCAAGTAGGGCTCTTTCTCCATGTCTTTTCCCTTCAAAAATCGTCCGCTTTCCCTTCAAACCCCCATGATTTTCATAGCCCTGGGGTGCCTGGACCCCTGGGGTGCCGGGCATCCACCATGGAATCCACCAGCTGGGTGATCTTCTTGAGCGCAGGGCCTGGCTGTAAATCTTCAACGTAGCTGGAAAATCCCCTATATGAATCCCTATGACATATGGGAAATCATAGGAAAACATAGGTGAACATCTGGGAAAATATTGAAAAATACCCGAAAAATGGATAAACATGGAGGTTTATAGCTGGGAAAATCATCGAACTAAACGGATGATTTTCCCAGGAGGCCACTTTTGATCACCAGAGGGAAATGCAAAGAAAATGTTCGTGCATGCATATTCTATGATATTATCTGTCCAAGGTTGAAGCTTTACCCAAACCATACGGTTCTTCTATTCTGTACCAGCCTGGGTAGGCCATTTCTCGGACCAGAGATCCTACCCTTCGAAAAATTTAGCGTAGACTGTGGCTATAGAAAATCACAATGTACATGTATAAAGGTAAATCATCATAAATTATCTATAAATGGGCCATGTTCCATAGCTATGTTAAATAACCAAAGGGTACATTTTGATGGGTTTAGAAAACACATGGCTGCTTCATCTCAGTAGAGCAATACTGAACTTTCCTTGGGCCTGGGCGCGCTGTTTGCAGTCTGCAGCATGTTTGCAGAAAACGCGCGGAGTATTCCAACACCGGCAGTGTAAAGAAATGGCATATCCCAATGACATCCATGGTGTTGACAAATCCCTCCGCGTGCCTTTTCTTGAACGACCCATAAATCACCCAAACCTTTGAAGTCTTTGTTCACGTGCCTTGAGTCCTTGACCCTCAATAATTGACCCATAAAAGACATGAACAAAAAAGCAAAAGTACCGTAAGTGCAACCGTAGGGAAACATCTTGCTCATCTTTGCCAGTTAGAGCGTCCTGAAAATCCCATGCGCCTTTCCCTCGTAGGTGAGCAGCCTTGAGCTCTCTGGAGCTCTGGTGAAAACTCTCATGCCTCGCGGTGCGAGGCAGGGCCGGAGCGGAAAAAATGCATGTCTTGGGGGGATTCTCACCCCAGGTGGTGGAAACACTGCTCAAATAGTAATCATTAACCATTGATCATCCCAGTACTTCACCATCGGCCATGTCAAGGACCATACTGGAGCGATATTGGCCTCTGCACCAGCTGCAAGAAGGTCACCAAAGGTTCTGGCTTGAAGGCTTCCAATGCTGTTCCAGACAACCTCGTGGGCTCATGGGTTTAGCGACTCACCTGATGGGTCAAAACGTATGGTTTGGACATCTTGGGATGGATTAAGACATCACAGGGCACCCAGGATTTTGACACAAACCATATTGCAACATCCAAGCTGCAGCAAATAATCATAGGAGAAGCCTTTAGCTAAGTCAATGGGAAACGCAGGGAAACGGACAACCCCTCAGAGATAGGACCGCCAGCAACATGCATGTGCAACTCGTGTGAAACCTGCTCCAGGTCCTACTGTATGTTGGAAGAGTCATGTTCGTTGTGAATGCCACATTTAGATATGAAGGCAGCTTGAAGTTGGACGCCGTTTAAAACTAGCATGAAACCCAACTAGAAAGGTTTGGAAAACGGTGTTCCCGTTATATATATATATATATATACATTATAAATATAAATGCATACAGACATACATACATACATATATATATACATATAAACCCAGGCCTTCAAAGGGCAAGTTTAACTTCGACATACGGAAATACTAAGTTTAACCATGGTGGGCCCCCCACCCTATCTCCCCCTGGCATCACCTATTCAGCAGAGTATTGGGTGGAAGAGCTGCCATAGAATCTGATAAAAACCTTGAACATAAATGGATCCTAGGTGATGCCCCCAAAACATGTTCGCATGAAGTGCCCGTGAAGTTGCGTGAAGTACCCGTGAAATACTAAGTTTACCCGTAAAATGTGAAGTTCACCCGTGAAAAACATTGAATAACTAGGTTTAATCCGGCGCTACGCCTGAGCTGGCACAAAACAAACCCTACTGTATGTTTTCCTGTGGTTGCTTTTTGATCCCAAAGCTTCGACCAATCCTGCAAAGTACTTCGACCCAAAGCAACCAATCCCAGAGCCCAGGAAACGCAGTTGCCTGCAAAAAAAAACAAGATCATGTTAAATTTGTAGTTCTTCATGGATAAACTTAGTATTTAACGCGAATGCCAAGTTTAACCTACAGTAGCATTTGTTTAAATGCTAAGTTAAACTTCGACGTGGGAAGGTCTGGATAAATGTGTATATATATATATTTATATACTTATATATCCAACTCATTTTAATTATACCAGCATACTAATTATGTGTTTTAAATTTATTCTTGCTACTATTATTTGAGGGTTCATTATATGTGGCTTCATCTTAGCCTTAGATTTCGTAGCGCAGACTTTTCAACTCATAGGTGACAAGAAGCAGCAACTTGGAGGCACTCTGCAGGCTCTTAGTCTCTTCCTGCATCTTCAACTCCATCTCTGTGTGCTGCTTCCGCCGGAGGTCGCACCAGTTCTTCAGGGTCTTGGTCAGCTTGTCAGCATCATCCACCACTGAAGCTGTGTCCTTGCGCTGAAAGATCTTGAAGAACAACATCTAGCTATATGGAAATGCAACTTGAGTGGTGATGGTGATGCACCTGAAAGTCGACATGGAACCCAGCCACATGGCTTTGCAGATGGAAATGAGATAGTTCGGGCTTAGTTTTGGATCTTACAGGGATGATCATCCACTCATTTGAGGGAAATCAATGGAAATCATATCAACAGAATTCAGATTCCCACAAGAAGTGTTCAGAATCAGCAATCCTGAAAACAGAAAACCGCAGGCGTTTAAAATCCTTCCCAACAAGATGCCCCAAAGCAATCCGGTTGTCCTCACGCTCCAAACGGAAAAATGCCTGCTGCTTCTGGAACGCGGCGTCGCGTTCCTGCTTCTCCTGCAAGCTCCTCAAGAGGCATATCAACAACCTCGAAAGTGGAATGCCATTTTTGTTGGTCTATGAACTTCTGTTGCAGCTATTCAGTGGAATTCCTTTGAGAATCTTTAAACATCTTTAAACATTTCAAATTCTTTGTTCCGTCTAACTTCTGGGGTATCCAATTTACACGTGACATAGCAAGCTGTACCGCTGTTCCTCTCCTCTGCAGGGATTGGAGTTCTTCAGCCTTAGCGCGCCTTGGTGACCCATCCAGGAGATTGGACCAACCCAGATTTGCAGACAAAATTGCTGGATGGATAGTGTGTGTCTTGTATTGATGAAATACATTACCAATATAGGATCCATGTATGGTATAGATGCTAACATTTGGGGTATATTGATGGTAAATGTTACCATATATAGCATACATGGATCCTATGGGTTATGAATATTGTAGTATGAATATGAAGATATATCACGACAAACTTGTGGACCACCAATTCATTTGGTGTGAATATTGTAACAATGCCTGCGAACTGCTAAATGAACGTGGATTTAAAAGTGATTTATACATTGAACATCATTGAGCCATATTCATCCAATTTCATCCATATTCCGAGAAGAGAACGGAGGTCTCACCATCAATTGAATCAATGGGGATCTGATCCATGATCTGCTTAGCTCCGCCCTTTTTTCTCTCCGCGGTCTCACCGTGAGCAACTCGCGGGCCGTGAAAATCTGCCCAGCACGGGGCGCTCCACTTTGGCTCAGGATCCCCTCGAGGGACAGCGAAAATCTCCGGAGCGAACACACCGGTGGCTACATGGGGTCTAAAGTCGGCTGCAACAATATAATTATGATTATAGATTTATAAATGAGAAGTGTTCGACACATTTTAGGATCGGAAAGCCTAGACCCAATGTACTGGAGATTGCATCGCAAATGCGACGTGTTTTAGATGGTTTTATCTTAGTTAGTGGTGTTTTTCCTTATTTCTTCAAAGCTCCAGGTCATCTGGGACCTCAGAAGGCAGTTCCTGCCAGGCCCTTGGTATCGCCGGACTCCATTCGCGGCTTCTTGGCCGCCGGCATGTTGCCTCCCTCGCGATCCGCGAAGCGGGTAACGAGGCCATCGCAGTTGATGCCTGTCATGGCTTCACCCAAATCCTCCGAGACTTCCGCGATGACTTGAGGATCGTTGAAGTGAGTGACCTGGCTGGATGCGAGACACCGTCCAATCCAAGGGGCTTGGAACATGTCAAGATCAGCGGAAAGGCCCGATGGAAACAGAGACAATTTTGAGGAATGGTGGGTTTTGCACGACCAAAAATGAGAACAGACCACCACCAAAAGCAAATAAGTTGTGAACATTTCTTGAGACTCGGAAACACATCAATCAAAAAACAGGCCAAGTCATGCCAGGCATCAGAATCTCTCTCTATACAATCGGGTTCATGATTGAGGGGCCTGCGAACTAATTAGATAGTCAAGTCCATACTCAAACTTAGTTGCTCTTAACATCATGCCAGAACAAGTCAAACATAAACATGTTGGTCATCTTTGGCATGGGTCAAGACCATTCACCCCCAAACAACTCGGATATATATATATGTGTGTGTGTATTAGTATATATTATATAAAGACCCTCAAACACTATCAGGCATACAGTTTCAACAAACTAGTTCAACCCATTGGCCGGCTGCAGAACATGGTCGTTAAACATGACCATCAGGACACACCGGGAAACCATACAGTACCATGATATACAACGAGTGTTTAGAGAATCTAAAGAACATCCATCAGAATCCCCGAGAACCACCGGAAAACTCATGAAAACTCATCCTATCGCAATCTCAAAGTCAAATTGGAGTCAAACGGGGATGGGAACAACGCAACGCACTCTGTAGTGAACAAATCAAAATAGTTGGTAAGTGTTGGTACTGAAACGGATGTTCATCCCCCCAAATTCCTTTTTATAGGTCTTGATCCATAGCCACATCCCTATTTTAGGATTGCTAAATCATGTACAACCTCACGTTTTTATCATTCTTTCTGGCTAACCCACCATTTTCGCAGGCCAAACCACATTTTTTTCCTGCATAACCCCAAAGTCTTGACTGCCTAACTCCCCATCTTTGACCATCGCGAACTTCTCCAAGTCGTCCGCAACATCCGAGGCACGGCTTTCACAATGGCGCGCGCACGCTTTGCCGGGTCCGCGGACTTGAAGATGCCGCTGCCCACGAAGACGCCATCCACCCCCAGCTGCATGCAGAGCGCCGCGTCCGCAGGAGTGGCCACACCGCCCGCGGCGAAGTTCACCACCGGCAACTTGCCTGAGGCTACACCCGGGGTGGAACAGGGAAAAAAAGGGCACATCTAAATGGGATAATATGATTAAAAAGAAAAAAGTGGCGATTTCTAATGATTTATAGTTGATCATAGTTGATTTCACAAAGTTAAAGTTGGTTTCAGTTGGTGCCACAGGTCAACCAACTTTAACACATACACACACACAAGCCGGGTTGACCAAGAGAAATGGTGATTTAATCTTAACCAACAATTAGATGTTTACTCAGCTAAATGGGTAAACATTTAGCAACCTTGACTTATGGAATGTTATGGATATCATATAATTTATCATATAGTTCTGGATACTTCTGGCTAGTTATATTAGTTATGGTAGATATATCGAACTTATTAATGAAGTGACACTAAGCCCGGGGGGTCCCCATTTTGAGACCATGACATCCCGTTGATCAACGGTCCAAGACGAACATCGCTAGAAAATCTAGAAACCTTGAGACAACAAAAAAAGATCTGTTGGGGGTTCCTCAAATACAGTAGTCTAAAATAGGGGTACCCCCAAATCATCCAAAGTTAAACATAGTTAAACCATCTAGTATTGAAACCTATGGTGACTTGGGGATCCCCCTTGGAAACCACCAAGATTAGGGATTCCTATCGATTTTGTCCACCAATTTCTGGCAGCGAACTTCGGTGGCCCAAGTGGCCCGTCTTCTTCACCTGTTGCAGGAGATCGATGGGCGCCCCGATGTCCTTTGCCTGGGCCCACTGGAGCAACAGCTGATGATTTACCTATAGACTATACTATCGACCTATACAGTAGATATTGAAAAGATCGACAGTGAGAACCTGCCAGAAATTTGAATTGCCGTGTTTGTCTAGATTGAACGGGTGAGGAAGGTCAGTTCGCAGATTCCGAGCTGGCCAAAGTTAAATAACCACTCAGACTCAGCCAAAGAATAAAGCATGGAACTATGCCCTTTATCAAGGTCTACCCAGATCGTTTGGTTCCGTGCCACCTCAGGTTCGTTATCAAGCCTTTTTGTTGGGGGCTCCATTTTTGCGAGTGCATCCCGGTTAATATGCAATAGTTGATAACCATTTTACAGCCCAGTTGTGGATGGAACATCCTCGCTTCCTATGGGTATATCAACATGGCTTGGGATGCACCAACTTCCATCCTGCAGCCCCGCTGCAAAGGTGAAGAGCTCATCATCGTCCATCATCTGCACCATGCGAATCTCTTTGTGCAAGGTGCGAATATGGCGAACCGCCTCCACCACATCACCGGTACCTGGCGGGTGAAGCGAGTTCTTCCAGTCATTGAATTTGCTTCCATTGGCATTTCTAGACAATATCTAGTCGCATTACCGTTATATGGATTTATATGGATTTATATGGAGTTATATGGGTTTAATTACAGTATTTAAATGCGTTCTGCTAAAATGGACATGGCCGCTTCAGTGGAGACCCTCCACCTCTTATGATCGAAATCGCCACGAAAAAAACTTAGATGGGACCTGGGATTGGTTTTGCCTGCGTAGTACCTGGCGCAAAAAAAAACTGGCTAAATCGGTTATCAATGGGTTGGATCTGTTAGTGGCTTAAAACTGGCTAAATCATGCATTATTAATGGACTAGTGGCTTCTAACTGGCTAAATCATGGATTTTTCATGGATTAGTGGCTTCTAACTGGCTAGATCATGGATTTTTCATGGTTTAGTTTAGTGGCTTATAACTGGCTAAATCATGGATTTTTCATGGATTAGTGGCTTCTAACTGGCTAAATCATGGATTTTTCATGGATTAGTGGCTTCTAAGTGGCTTAGTGGCTCATAACTGACTAAATCATGGATTAATTGCTGGATTAACTGTCTAAATCATGGATTATAAAAAAAATTACTCATGGATTTTACAAAAGTATACCCCGAATTATACCCCACTTACTAACCACCCCTCAGTAATCCTATGGCCCCTTCCCCAGCGCCTGCTTCTCCCTTCGTGCGGATCATGCTGGCGCCCTCAGCGATGCGCCGCAGCGCTTCGCCCAGGTTGCGGCAGCCGCACACGAAGGGCACCTGGTCGCCACGGCGCCACGGGCTTGGGGATGTAGCAAAATATGGGGAACATATGGGGGAAACCTTGGAGAAACCTTGGAAAATATAGGAACGTCTAGGAAAAGATATGGGAACATATGAAAAAATCCTCTATAACATCCTGCAAACACTTTTCGGCATCTTTTTGGGGGTTGCTTTTTCATGATACAGTTACAAAAGCCAACCCAACAACAATAACACATGTGATCTAAAGTATAAATATGGACAAATATGAAAATCGCGTGCGTGTTGCAGGGATGTTGGAATAATTACTGGATCGATCAAAAGGCAGTATGACCTAGCTCGGGGCCACTATTGAACTTTATATTCTTGAAACATCCAAATTCCACTCTCAAACCAACATGGCCCCCCAAATGTTAACAAGTGTCAACGGCCGTAACCCATGAAGGACATCGGCGGACCAACCCGCCCCGGCCTTAAAGTTGTTCTTGTTCACATGGTTGCCTCAAATGAGCCAAGCGGTGGACATTGCGCAAGCTATCTACTCCATACTGGTAGGCTGGGACCCTTTGGAACTTGAGGTCGTCTGTGAATTAGCCCTGCTCACCATACTCAGTCGATCATCTTGGGTCATTCACCTCAAAGCGTCATGATAGAACGATAGAGAAACACATCAACAATGCATAAGACATCACAAAACATGGTTTTCCCATGGGTTTTCCATGAGTTTTCCATGGTTTTTCCATGGCTTATGCCATGCTTTCCCCTGGTCTTTCCAAAGAAACTCCCAATTCCGGTGCCGGAAATCCGGGCGCATCCGGGCGCCTTCATCTGCGACAGTGAGCACTTCACTCTCATCGATGCAGTCCACACCGATGGCCTCCCTCAGTGACGATTTCTGGAATCATGAGAGTGAATCAATGAATCAACCAGCTGGAAAATGAATCAATGAACAGATGAGTGAATGAATGAATGAAGGAAGGAAGGAAGGAATTAATCAATGAATGAATGACTGAATGAATGAATGAATGAATCAAACAATCAATGAATCAATAAATCAATAAATCAACAAATGAATCCAATCCATCAATGGCTACGGTGTGATTTCATCATCAATCAATGAACAAAATTAATTAATCGCCAAGGAAGAGCTTTCGAATTGTCAAAACATGATCGTTGATTCAATCATTACGTGAGTGCCACTAATGATCGATGGCCTGTTTGGATTTATGGAGAGAACCACTAATAGAGCGCTTCAATGACACAGCGATGAATATATAATGCCAACTTATTAACAAAGAAGTTGAACCAACCAATCTGGACCAATCAACTCCCATCCAACTTTTGTAAATGAATATGTAGCCCACTTCAAATCATCACAAGCCAGTTAATAAAACAAACTTGTCAATGATGCCATGGTCCCTGGAGGTTGGAAGCTCACCTGCCAAACAATGTTTTCATGCAGTAAACCATATAAACCCCAACCATCCCGATCACCAAGCATGTGGGGGTCACTTTATATAAATCATGCCAAATATGTTTTTTTTCTCTCACTGTATCACCAATAATACACCTCAATTGGAGATAGTTCATTCTTGGGCCCACATTAATAACATTTAATAAGAGGTTCTCCGTCACTTCCGTGCATAGTCTCGATGGTTTCCATCCGAGGTGCAGAATTTGGGACTCGGCAAAGTGTCCGATGCGGCACTTCGCCTTGAAAAAGGGGGGCCAAAAAGGGTCATGCTCTACTGGTCTACCCTCCAATAAACTAACATGGACCCTGCCGGCATCTGCCGATTAGGGGTTGGAAGAAGAGTTTCCACTAAAAGTTTGTGATTTTGAGGGTCGATGTTAATTTACCAGAGGACCAAAGGGTAAGTGTTTGGCAGTGGTTACAATGATTGATAGCCCAAGATTCCGGCTGTTGTTGATGAGTATCTAACCAGAAGAATTGGATGCGAAAACCTAAGGCTTTCGATGGGAATACAATATGCATCAATGTGTCATAACTATACACAGCCCACAAGTGGGGGCAGCACAGCGTTGGTTGGCTGTCCCGTAGCGCACCTACTTGTCCAAAGATTTCTGCAATTAAGGCTTTATCCATTCATAATTTTAGTGTATCAATACCCATATGCTCCATGGTGTTGGCATATTTCCCTACAAAACTGGGTGATTTTTAGGGCAAGGGCACATGTTGGGATTCATATTCCATGGAGCATATGGGAATCATGGACTTGTCACAATGTCATGTTCCCATGATTTTACCGGTGAGTACCCCCAGTCCCTGGATTTCCATGTTCCCAACAGGGCTCCAGCCATTGTTTCCGGAAAATGATATCCTTTTTTTTGGTGGTATTTTTTAAAAACACAGCCAACAAAAAAACAATTCACATGTATATATACACATAATACATGTTGATTTTTTTAATATACTAGTACATATATAAACCATTGGCTTTATATACACATACCTAGCAGCTAATATAAAACCAATTTGGATTCTCATCCTGAGATCTCCGAATCTCCGATCGCCCCGAGAAAGCCCCGGAGGGCGATGCGGATTCTTTTTGGCCAGTTGCCATCACCGGGATGGACACGGAGTTCACAATCTCCTGCCGGAGACTCATTGGACTGGTTGAAGGAAAGATCATCATCATCATCATCATCGTCATCATCATCATCATCACCATCACCATCACCATCATCATCATCACCACCATCATCATCATCATCACCATCATCATCATCATATATATATATAATATATATATATGGTTAATATACTGTTAATATATGGTTAAAATTAATGGTTATTATTAACGGTTAATGATGTTTAATATATATATACACTAGTTGGTGGTTTTAACCATCGTGAAAAATATGAAAGTCAATGGGAAGGATGACATCTCAGATTAATGATGGAAAAAAATCATGTTTGGAACCACCAACCAGTGTATATACATATATATATATGGGTGTGAAAATCTACAGGAAACTCCATGGATTTTCCCATGTTGATCCAGGTTTCAGGTAAACATGTTCCCTTAGAAAATCCCAGTGACAACCCATTCGCATGAAGGAGATCATCACGGTGCTTTCCCACTTTACTCAAGCTTCATCCGCGCGTGGTCCAACAGTGGAACTAGTCATCCCAATACTCAAACCTACAAGCAGCAACATAACTGGTTGGTGGTTGAAAAACCCCTCTGAAAGATATTAGTCAGTTGGGATTATTACTTCCAACATAATGACATATGGAAAAATATAAAAATGTTCCAAACCACCAACCAGATATTAATATGGAACCCAGCAATTCAACAGTTGGCCATTTTCAGTGAGAAAGCTCTAAAAGTTGACTCGCCCTCCTGTGGGTGACTCGGGAGGTCGAAGACCAGCCCTAGATCGGGCTTTAAACATTCCTCAAAAATCAGAAGCAACATCTTTTCTGAAAACCTGGGGGTTTTTGGAACCATTTGACTTTGAGAAAGTTAGGGGTTTTTAGAAAATCGATTTTTCAAGAACCACTTGGCTTCACTTGGGGATGGTTGATCCCATCCGGTAATCAAACATGGCTGTGGAAAATGGTTTTAAATGGTTTTAATGGGAAAATCAGCATCTATAAATGGTGGATGTCCCATTGCCATGTACCGCCATTGCCATGTTTGATGGGTGGGTATATAAAGCGATCCAAAATGGATGGCGCTAGTTCTTTGCACCAACGAATAGCTTACGAACTTGCCCACCACCGTATAGGAATTGTCCATGTATATGAAGAGGCTTGGTAAACAAAAATGTTATATATCTAGAATCACCCATTCTCCCGATGGCTATCATCACAATAGTCATGTTCTAGCAGGATGTTTCAATAGTATGCCATACTATGTCCGGCTAGTTTCAAAAAAAAACAACTAATCGCTTCCCCCTATCATATGACACACTTCTCACTATCATATGACACACACCCCAGAAGCCACGGTTCGGTCGTGTAGATGCCACATAGTTGGGACCACATAATGGGTTGTTTTGTATGCATATGTATGAATGGGGGAATACATTAACTACGCATAATTACAATGATGTTAGATGTCCATCTCCAAGCGGTTTTCCCAAAGGTGTTGGAACATAATATTAGATAATATTAGGATGATTAATAAGTTCCAACTTAAGTCCCATGAAGTACCACCATATACCACCATTAGATCACCATTAAATCCCAATAAACACCATTGAATCTGAATGTCCGAGGCTCACCTATCCTATAGAAAATCCCACAAAAAATATATAGGGATCCTCCAGAATCCGTCCTTGATCATCTTGGGATCTGACATGCGCGCCACTCCCTTGCTCTGCCGGATGTCTGCTGGGATCCGCTCCAGCGCCATCACTGCGCAGGCCCCGGCCTCCTCAGCGATTTTCGCCTGCTCCTTGTTCATCACATCCATAATGACCCCACCTAGGCATCTCAAAGATGGGGACAAAGGGGAACTACATGGTAAGCGGCTCACAGAACGCCGCCTGTTTTTCTAACCGTGGCGAATTCATTTTGTCTGTGTTGTTTCAATGTGTTGTGCTTTGGTCCCTTTTTTTGACTCTCTGAAATCCTGCGACAAACTACTTTGGTTTTTCAATTTCTTCTTGTAAGACTGTACTTCTCTTGTTTCACATGCGTTGCAGGACTTGGGTCAAAATTCTATAGACATCATCTGCATCTGAGCAAGGTGTCCACATTCTGTACAACCATTGTTTGACCAATGTATCGATCTCGGGGTGCAGCTTGGATCCCACATTCCCTTTCATTGTGCGACGGAAAGCGGATCCAAAATTCCCCTTCATTAGAAGTTACTTGAAGAAGTGCAGCGAGTAGCATCAAGAAACGTGTTTGAAGTTACTTGAAGAAGTGCAGAGCGAAGCATCAAGAGGCGTGTTATAAGTTACTTGAAGAAGTGCAGAGCGTAGCAAATGCGTAGCATCAAGAGACGTGCTAGAATCTAGAATAGCGTAGCATCAAGAAACGTGTTTGAAGTCACTTGAAGAAGTGCAGAGCGTAGCATCAAGAGGCGTGTTATAAGTTACTTGAAGAAGTGCAGAGCGTGGCGTAGCATCAAGAGACGTGCTAGAATAGCGTAGCATCAAGAGACGTGTTATAAGTTACTTTAAGAAGTGCAGAGCGTAGTATCAAGAGACTTGTTATAAGTTACTTGAAGAAGTGCAGAGCGTAGCATCAAGAGACGTGCTAGGATAGCGTAGCATCAAGAGACGTGTTATAAACTACTTGAAGAAGTGCAGAGCGTAGCATCAAGAGGCGTGTTAGACGCAGTGTGAACATGACGTTATCACCCACCCCACCCCACCGAGACAGAAAACGCACGAAAGCTGGCGGCGTTCTACAAGCCGCCAGCCAACTATATGGCTGGTAAATCATGATTCTTAGACATGTATCTTTGCTATCTTTGCTGATAGTTTGAAGAAGGAGGGAAGTCTTGGTTTTGAGACGCCTTCCGGCATAGATCAAGAAGTTTCCTCGATGTTTTCTTCCCGGACTTGAATCCTTTTAAAATGCCAAGGACAAATTAGGCAATAGTGCGCCATGTTTTTTACGCATCTTTCTGCCAAGTGGGTGTAGCTAAACAGCTGGGGAGAGACGTCCTGAGATGACCTACAGATTTGATCCATTGTTGGCAAACAGTGTCGATATTATCCCACCGCGCGAGTGCAAACACTGGGTTGGGTTATATAGGGTCAACTTGCAGGAAACCTGGCTACGCATCTCCACCGCAATGTTGAGAGCCCTCTGAGTTGAAAGACAACTGCGTCTCCAACATTGGGCAAAGTTTCAACATGATCCCCTTCCATCCTCAGAAACTGGACCTGTGGCGCCACACGGAATCTACAAGACTTGGCTTAAGCTTCAAACTTCCAGCTGGAAACAACGCTGATGTGCTGAGCGACCCTTGAGCATGGCGGGCAAACCCTTCTTCACTCGCTTGGTGCCCTCTGCCACGGTACGAGGTGCTGCGGCCATGGTTGGGAGCTGGGGTCACTGTTGGCTTGAGCTTTTGGGCCAAAGAGGAGCTTGCCAGGCAGCCACTGTTGCCAGCAGTTCTTTGAAGTTCTACCCCCACCATCGTTTTGACGCAATGGAAATGTATGGAAATGTTCCATTGATGATATTTCCAGATGTAAATTGGGATTTCACATTGCCATGTTTGACTACTGGAAGGTACTTCAATAGAATTCCACTGTACCCTCGCAGCAGACCGTTTTCTCAAAAGCTCTGACTAGCCATCATTCAACATTCACTTGTATCCACCAGCACTAAACCTTTGGGTACCAAACTTGGCCATGGAACACGTTTATGTAATATTATTTCATGGATCAATTTTGGAAAACCACCTGGAAGTTCCCGAGTTCCTCGGCACTCCAGAGCTCAGGCACTCCATCGCTTCAAAGACGTTCTTCCGTTTGGCCTCCGAGGCCTTCAACTCGGTGAGGTCTTTGTTCACACCCTCCTGGCACGAACAACACGTCCTGCAACACGTCCTGAAAATGAGTTGTGAAATGTTATGAACATGTGAAAAGCCAATGCAGAATTTGTGGTACCTTTTAGGGAATCTTGGGATCCACTTCAAGGGAATCACCACTTTTTGAGAAAGGACACTAAGGCAGCACATAAACCATGGATCTCACAATGATGTATTGTTTTTGTTCCCAAAGTCCCAAACGAATTTCAAATGATTCAAAATGTGCGCGCAAATTTTATAAATACATATCTGGATTTGGATTCTTATTATAATAATTACGTGTATATATAATTATATATACCAATGTGTGTGTGTGTGGCTGTGTGTATTGCGACCAGTGTATCTCGCTATCTATATCTATCTTAGCAGCAACTCAAGTATCTTGAGCTCACCAGCCCCGGTCCAGCATAGTGCGTAGCATCTCCTAAGGAGAAGAATCACATTCACAGGAATGTGGAAAAGCCAGTGCCATAGAACAACATTAGATTATTTGAGAATGGCAAATGTGCAATCACAATTATCATTGAAAATGGTTTGGATCGATAATGACCAAATAAGTAATAGTGCTCATTTGGGAATGATCTAAATCCAATCCATTCATCAATATATTTAATATTGTCGATGGTTCATTATTGGGTTCGCCACATTATCGTACTTTAGTGGTGGGAAAAAGAGTGGGGAACGTTCGACTGGTTCGACCGGTCTCAAGTGCCCCAGTATGCACAACTAAAGACCCACAGCTGAAGTACGATGGGCGAAAGCATGCCATAGCTCTCCCTCTCCCTCTCTCTAGAATATATTTCATAAATTGCGGTTGATATATAGACTATATATTAAATCCAATGAAATCTGAACATCATACAAGAATCATACCGTGGATAGTTGCGAAATCCACCACCAAAAGGATGGGGAAGAAACCCTGTAAAAAATTATGGAATAGATAAGCGTTTTCAGCTGCAGGATTTCGCAATTAATGAGATCAATTGGTCCAGGATGATGCCAAGACTCGGTAACTTGGATCTTCTGCCCAGCAGTGGCTGAGGGATCCTGTAGCAGTTCGAGCAGGTCCGCACTACCTCGGCCGACGGGTCTTGTTTGGGCTTTTCTGGGATTTCAGCCGAAAATCGGTGAGATTTTTGTGGAATTATTTGGGATGTGATATGGATGTTCATGTTTGGCGCGCATAGATTTTAGTATGTTTTAATCCATACCCATGTATGAATATCAACTATATGATGAGGATGATAAACAAGGCTAAACATGCCAAGGGTGATTAACAAAAAATACTCAAAAATGAAAATGCAGAACGGCTGATGACATGGGATAAGAATGATGTAAGGTGTGATGGTGATGATGGTGATGATGGTGATGATGATGATGATGGTGATGATGATGATGATGATGATTATGACGATGACAATCATGACATATCATGACATATCATGACCATGACGAGGGACAACATGACAAGGCAAAAGAAGAAAAGCACCAAGTTGGAATCCTACTATTTAATAATCGGTTGAGAGTAATTAATTTTAACAAAATGTAATGAATAAAACCATTAATAACCATTAATAACCATTCATAATCATAAACAACAGTACCCATTAATTAATAAACATTAATAACCGTTATCATTAACAACCATAACCTGGTTGGTGGCTTCAACCCCGCTGAAAAATATTAGTCAGTTGGGATTATGATTCCCACTATATCCCAATATATGGAAAAATCAAACATGTTCCAAAGCACCAACCAGATTAATAACAATGACTCGCCGAGATTCTGCTTGACGACAGCGACAAGTGCTGAAAAGCAGTTGCTGCATCTGCCTGTCCTGTTCCGTTGTTCTCCATGCCTGGTCGGTTCAGCGGAGATGCTGGAGGATGTCTGCCGGCATTGTTTAATCCACAACGAAGTCAGTTGGAATATGTTGAATAGATTTTGCCAAATCGATATAAATTGATGTATGGCTAAGACTTGGGGAACTAATGGAAATACATTCCGGGCATTTCCGGGTCATCGTTAGCCTTCAACCATTAATGGATCTGATTCTTTGGGTCAGTTTTTGAGCCATGGAAAGTACTGCCAAAGATCAGGACAGACCTTGCCTGTGTGACCAACTTCAGCCAATGATGCGGCATCCTGTGGACAGGCTGCTGGTTTGGCTAGAAAAATGTCATCAATTTGCGCTGTGCACTGTGCATTCAGCATGGGCAACGCCAGGTGATGTGGACGCTACACTTTGAAACATGAGCTGGCTACTTCAAATCGATGACTTCTATCAAGTTGTCATTTTTTGTTATTTATCATTGAGACCGAAATATCCTTAAACTATTCCAACCTCATACGCTGCTGGGCACTTGATATCTTATTGCTGAGTTCCCACAAAGGTCCACCCACCAACAAATATGCCCATACGGATAAGTCTTATTAACCCCTATAAACCCCTATGAATGGGGCTTATTGGGTCCCCTTGGGTCCCCTTTTTTTGGG